TCCTTCAATATGTACATTTATGTATCACCAATGAAAGTAAACACTGAAGGGTTCAATGAAGGGTCTTTAATGACACCAGTAAGAAACTATTTTCAAATTATAGATGGAAAAAGAGAAGGCTTTACTTGGTACAAGGGTCAGGTGTACAAGAGACCCAATATTAGATCCAGAGAGTGTTCTGTACATAATCTTTCTTTGTGACAGGTCCTTCCTAAAATATAATTATTACATAGTACCTGATTGATATTCATCTATATTCTCTCCCGATATGTTTCCCAGTTTCCTCTATGAGCATTTATTTTAAAGCTTTGGCTTGACTAGGAATACAATTATGGAAACTAAAAGTTCAAAACATTTACTTAATATAATTTTCTAACATATTCAGATATCCCACATAGTGGTTAACCATGACAATAAGTCAATTAGAATTTGAAGGGAACATTATCTGTGACAAGTTACAGTCAGTGTGTGGACTGTGTGCATCTTAAGGAATATATATATATATATATATATATATATATATATATATTATACACACATACACACACACATACCTTGATTTAAAATTGAAAAAAGATTAATAATGGCAAACTAAAAAGCTGATTTTTAGGCAAGTTTTTTCTTTTCTAGAAAATTACCACTCCTTGAGTGTCAAGTCTTTACATTCAGTGCATTGAGTTAGAAATCTTGCTAAACATGTTGGTAAAAAAGCAAGCTGCTTTTCTGTTTCAAGGTTTCCAAATTCTTGAAAGAATTTCTCTTAGCACTATCTTTGGGCAAGGCTCTTTTGTTAAAATTCTTTTTTTGTCCCTTCTGTGACAATATACTCTATCCGTCATCTTACTTTTTTATTCCTACAATATAAATCACGGTCTGTAAAACTGCTCCAAACAGAATTAAACTTTCTTGGAATTAAAGTCCCCTTTCTCACTGAAAGCCAGGGGTGAAGCGGCGGCACTTGAATTCTTATCAGGAATTTTAAAAACGGAAGAAAAAAAAAACAAATATTTGCTTTTGAAAATTACTATGAACCTTTTTTTTTTCCTTCAAATTTTAGTGACTAAAATGAAAAAATATGGGTAGCTGAAAAGTTGTAATCAGATATGGCTTGAACTTTGGCATTTTATGTTTGTGTCCTTTGGAAAGACTTTCTATGATGTTTTCCGGTGTTTCAGTATGTATGCAAAAGATATTATGATTCATATGTTCATGTATTATCATGCTAAAAGAGAGCCAAGTATTATCTCAAAAGCAACTTTAGTCAAGTTTTCTTACCAAACCAATTTATATGTGAACATAGGCAGTTCAGATAGGCCACCCAAATTAAAATTAAAAGTTCCATTTTGGGATGAGAATCTCCTTCGACTCTTTTTTAAATGTAACTTCAATTTTCCATATCAACAGGATAACAAATTTAGTCTGTTTTTAATGTCCTTTTTCAAATGTGCTTTGTCTGTCTTGAAAATATAGACTTATATTGTAATGCCTTTTATAACAAAGACAGCACGATATCTGTATATTATATATTTTCATCATATGCAGTAATGGTTTTGTGTCTAACTGGACATTTTAGCCTTGGAAATTTCTATTCTTTTTATAATTATAAAGGTTCTGGCATAATAGATAAGCTTGAATTTCAGATAGAGACCTGAACACTGTGGGTCCACTACCATAAGCTAACATGGCTTTTTGTTCTAGTTCTGATGTCACATGTTGGTGATGGTGGGGTGAATGTTTTATCTTACCCTGAACCACTGCTTCCACATAACTCAAAGGAATTAATAATTTCCTCTCTTGCAGGACAATAAGGGGTAAAGAGCAGGAGCAGATATAAGAAAGAACATGACAAATGATTGTAAATGAAAAGAAAATACAATAAGCACTGCATAAGGTTTTGAATCTATGTAGCTAGGTTGTTCTGAAAAACCTCCAGGGAAAGACATGCTTCTAGAAGGCATACCAGAATGGATGGCAAGTTACCTAGAGCCAGTTATCTTAAGAAGAAGGTAGAGCCTGCTGCACAACTCCACCAGGCATGGTCCTTCATGGGAACATTGCCTTGGAGCTATGAGTGCTCATGTCATCTCCTTATGGATGATGCCATCGACGTACTCAGAATGAAGGATTAATGATTTTTCTCCCTGGGGAACTTCAATTGTCCATATCAACAGGATAACAAATTTAGGCTTTTTAAAATATCCTTTTTCAAATGTACATTGTCTGTCTTGAAAACATAGACTTATAGTCAGGGACTGTCATAAATACATCTATTTATGACAGTCCTTGACTCTCATAAATAGATGTATTCAATTTTTACATTTGTCAGACACTGCAGGTAAGCAGCAGATGTACATGCTTAGGCCCGTGAGAATAATAAGAGACATTGTGACTCATATGCTTTTTTTTTTTTTTTAAATTTGACGCTCAGATTTAGTTAGAACAGTAACGGCTTGAGATTTTGCTGTAAATTCCAAGACACTAATGCTGGCTCTGTGGTTTTCTTTATCTAAAACTTTTTGGGTTTTAACTCTACCCTCATCAAGGATCAGCTTCTCCCCAAAGACTCTGATTAGAAATTTGAGGAAAAGATGGAAATGAAAATAAGCTTTCTAAAGTGTGAGTTCATAAAAACATTGGTGATTTGAAAATTAATCTCAGTTCGAATCTATTGAAATAGAATCATTCTAGTTAAATCATTCTATATTATCTGAAATATTTTCCTCCATGATAATCCACTCAAAACAATTCTGGTGGTTCAATCAGTGGCCCATATTTTATAAGTCTTTGCCAAGAAAATCTTTCCAGAAACCACTTCTCCTATTTATGAAAGGAGAATGGCAGCAGGTACAGTAAGGAAGGACATGCTATTAATTCAGCTACATCATGTAAGTGATCATTAATTATCTTGTGTGAAAAATAAGAAGGAAAAGAAAGTATACAATGTCTCATCCTAGTATTTGGAAGTAAGGTTAATCCAAGTTTAAGCCATTAAGTGACCACAATTGGTATTATTGTGTCTCACTGAGAAAGTCTGATAGATTAGAAAACTCATTGACCATCTCACCTGACTATGAAGTTAACTATTAAAAATTGGTTAAAACTTGAGAATCAAATATTAGAAAATTTCAGCACATCTTGTTGATGCTTCAAAGGTCCTTCCCTACACATATAAACCTTAATAGAGAATTCTATAATACTGCTCTGTTCTCTGTGGATTACATTTATATCCAGGTGTTAGAAACCAAAACAGTCCTATTAATAGAATAGTAGGAATCATTCACTAAGAAGAAATGGAAAGTTTATAATAAACCCATTGTGAACTGTATGAGCAACTTGCTAAGTTATACCAAATTTAAATATTAAATATAATGATAAATTCACATGATATGAAAAATGCAAAATAAAAGTAAATGCTTTAGCTTCCTTTTACTAAGGTACTTGACTACAAAATTGGAAAGCATAATACATAATAATTATGTATTATGTATTATCCATAGTCTACAGATTTTTCAAAATGTCATTTTGAATTTATAATAATTTATGGATCACACAGGACTTCCCTAAAATAGCATGTTTAAACATGGAATAAAGATATCAAGGGCATGCCATGTATTTAAAGCCAACTATCCTGGAAGGCAGATCTGGATCCTATTTTTGTCTTTTCAATTTTCAAAATTTATTTATTTATTGGAGTGAGGTGGTATTGGGAATTGAACTCAGAGACACTTAGCCACTGAGCCACATCCCCAGCCCTATTTTGTATTTCATTTAGAAACAGGGTCTCACTGAGTTGCTAAGCACCTTGTTTTTGCTGAGGCTGACTTTGAACTTGTGTGATCAGCCTCAGCCTCCTGAGCTGCTGGGATTATAGGCTATTTTGTCTTTTTAGTCCACTGCTAAATGCTGGAATGCAAGATAACAGGTCACAATAATCCAAATCTTTATCCCAGCCAATTATCTTCTAAAAAGAAGAAACATCCATCTCAAGCATACACAGATAGAACTTTTAGGATGCTCCTCCCACACATATTTGAAAATGTGTCCGTCTGTTCTCAATTGCCATAAATCTAAAGCCTTTGAATACATTATCTGTTCATCTTTTATTTGATATAAAATGATCTAGTAGTTCACTACTGCAGAGATTTTTACCCCCTAGGTGACATTTGAAAAGGTCAGGGGACAAATTTGATTGTTATGACCTTGGGTAGAGGTGCAATCAATATCTAGTAGAAGCCAGGGATATGGCTAAACATCCTATAGTGGACAGGCAAGGCCTTACGACGAGGAATTATCAGGGCCAGAATGTCAATCACACCAAGTTTGAGTTAAATCTGCAGTCAATGTTGACCTCACCTGTCTTACAATAGAAATGTCTCTTTGTGAAAGAGATATACTCACTCTGACCTTCTCAGGACGAGGGATTCCAACTAATAGGCTTCAAAAATACACTGGAACACTTCACACAGGTGCTTGAGTGAACATTTCCCTCTACATGATATTATGGCATCTGACAAATGTGAAATCATCTCCACTTGTCTCTCTGAGTATAAAATATAGATCTAGGAAATGAGGGCTTTGCTGTTCTAAAGGTCATGAAGGCCTTGATCATCTCTTTGAATAAGAAAAAAAAAAATTACAGATGCTGTGCAGCAACCATAAGCCTAACAGAACAGTCAAAAGTCGTACCTTTCAGGTTTTCTCTCTTTCACATTTAAATAGTTCTGAAAGCAAAAGTGAGAGGAATTAGGCTTTAGCTGATAACGATGTCATTTTAAGACTTGTGCCAATACTAGGACCCTTAGAACCATAATCACGTGGCTTATTTTAGCTTGCATTTCAAACTCGTGGTAAGAATAGGTATTAAGCATTTGGTAACTGTTTGGGGAATTTTAAAGGTTATTAAGTTCTGAATAACAGAGTCTCTCATGTTTTCCCACCAAGCTTTTCCCAGCAGTTGAATATATCTGGATCTTATTCTGGTTTTTTCATTCTTTTTTTAGCTTCCTGAAATGACTCATGTTCAATCACGACGACCCTGGATGATGTTTCTCCTGCAGAACGTTGGATTGATCTTAGGTTGGCTTTCTCTCTTACTCTTGGCTATATATGAACAAAACATTAAAATATAAATTAAGATTCTCAAAATCCTTCAAAAATGAAGTCACATGGTCTCATTTCATTTCTTTTCTTGTATTCTATAGTGATGAGTAAATTATGCATTTCTTATCTCAAGTGAAGACTGTGCCTTGGAGTTCATTAACCTGCTAATTTTTAAATGCAATTTTGGTTTTGGAAATATCTAAAGGTCAGACTGTCACCATTGAAATTTTCATTTTTCTTTCCAACGCTGTGATGGATCTTATTAGTTTTTATTTTTTTTAGCCATTAGTAAACTCAATTAATTCTAGTAAACTTAAAAAAAATATTGTTTCCCTGAGAAAGAATATTTGCTCATAGTGTTTGAAGTAGACAGATGCCTGTTGGGATAAAATCAACTGTGACCTTTCTGATGTCAGCTATACACTTTTTTTTTCCTGTGATATTTTTAAATCAAAAGCAAACTAAATAACAAAGAAACATAATAAAGTCTAGTTTTAACATGGTGATTTGTATGACCTTCTATTATTGGATGTCAGATGTGAAGTCCCCCCTTACCGCGTTGACATGGTATAGTTCACCTGGAGGCATAACTCACTGGCTAAAGAGTGCTCATGAACTTGAGAAACCCAAAGGATAATATATATGTCAGCATTCTTCTTCTAAAGTCACCAAAGGAAATCTGCTCCAGGCTGGTAGAACTGGAAACCAAAGATGAAGTTTGAACATTTTTCAAATAACAAAGGTTGATTCCAGGCAATAGATTAATGCCTAAATGCTCACAGATTGTGTAATGGAGAATATTTATGGAAATAATCTTCCTGACAAGTGAGATATGTTTTATATTCGTTCTGAGGAAACACAGAATCCTAAACAGGATTGCAGTAGGTAAGCTTATGAAATGAATAAGCAACATTACTGATAACCTAGAAAAATTATTAAAATAGAAAATAACCCTGGATTTAGTCATGTTTTTTCTTGGAACATGAATGCCTAATATTTTTTCTGTTTTATTTTTTTTAAGTATTATCTTGACAAGGGAAAAAAAGCCTGTTTTACTGCCAAAATGACTCATGGTACTCAGTCATATGTCTTTCCTACCTCTTACTCACCAATGAGTAGATATTCTTTGCCATGCCCCCCCTCCACCCAAAAACAATCTTTTTCAACCACTTTTTTTTTATTTCAAAAGAAAGTAGGCTTCTTCTATAGTTGTGTTTAGAGTTTGCTTTTAAAGAAGCATCATTGAATACTGCAGTAGTTCTCAAATTTGGATGCATAGCAGGATCAACTGGAAGACTCCTCGGTAGGAAACAGATGACTGGCTTCATTCATCCTTGGAGTTTCTGATGCTGTAGGTCTGGAGTAGAGCCTGAGAACTTGATTTTGAACAACTTCTGGGTGGTGCTGATGCCACAAGATAGAGTATGAGTCTGAACACCACTAGTATGACAGGAGTCAGGCACGATGGGTTTCAAGAAAGAACAGATACACACTCTGCTGCTCAGAAGCTATGTGAGCTTTTGAGCACGAAAATTAACACTTCTGAAAACTTCATGCTAGACATGAGTTCCTGAAACTAGCTTCTCTTCATCTCTTTGCCTCTGAGCATCAGATCAGTCCTGGGAGTTGCTGGGTGGGGAGTCCACAGGCAGTACTTTGAGTCACATTTACCCTGAAAGGTAAGCAGATTTGACAGGTAGAGTTTTGCCCTTCTTTTGTTAAGAGGCTACATTGTAACTGAATAGATACATACCTTGGTATAGGTCAACACAACGTGGATTCATTCCTGGTGCCATCTGTTTGGGTTTCTATGCCCAGGTTCTGATTTTGACATGAAGACTTCATTTATACCCACTTAATTAGAACAGCTCTGATGGATGGGTTTTTTATTTCCAGTTCAAGTTTAGAGTAGTCTGGGACTGGCTAATTAAAATTTTTAGAATGAGCTGCTCCCTCTAACCTTTAAGTTAGAGTTTGACACTGGTGAGGCGAGGAAATTGAAGGGAGCCAACTGTCAGAAGGGATATATAGGTTAGAGAGTCATACTTAGTATCCTGTAACCTTATCACCAGTGTTCCCTGATCATCAGTAGAGACCTGGTCACTCTGCGGTAAACCTAAGGAACATGTGACATAGTGGCTTCTAAGGGTGGCTTTCTAGCATCCCCATTTCCCTTCTTGAACTTAATGCTGTTTTTTTTTTTTTTTCTAATACACACTGAGTTCCAGACAGCAAACCACAACCTAAGATAAAATTGCTTGAAAATCTCTATTCCTCAAAATTGAGTGGTAATGATAAAAATATGATGCCCACTGTGTACCTTTTTTAAATACGAACAGAGTCCAAATCTGAGATGGTGAAGATTGTGATTCCTTTTGGCAATATAAGTTATGTTACCCATTTTCCTTGAAACCAGATTTTTCAATAATGTAACACTGTTTCTATTTCCTAGACCTAAATTTAGGATTCCACTATATTTTTACTTGGTGATTGATTTATTTTTTCATCACTGAACTAGAAATGCTCCTGGAGAAAAATCAAAGAGCAAATCATGCAGAAATCTTATTTGAACATCCATCATCCACTGACAGGGCCATCTTTAGGAGAGGGAAATTGGCCCGTGTTCTGTGATGCAGAGCAGAGCCTTAAAAAAAAAAAAAAATCTTACCACTATTGTATGCTGATTAGCACCAGAGTCTTCCATGACTATTCCCAAGAATTGTGGCCATTCTGGCCCTCACCCCCTTCAGAACCAGATTTATAGGTGAGACTTTGCCTGCCCTTCAGAGACCCCCTTCTCTGGATTCTGCACATTTACAACTCCTTTTGCATTTCTAAATGGAAAGAAGTGGGAGGGTCACGCAATCACTTGGATAGGCTGGACTAATCATTTGACTTCTTATGTGGTCATTAAGAATTCAGGCTCTAGAGCTGGGGATGTGGCTCAAGAGGTAGCACACTCGCCTGGCATGCTCGGGGCGCTGGGTTCGATTCTTAGCACCACATAAAAATAAAATAAAGATGTCGGGTCCATTGAATACTAAAAAATAAATATTAAAAAAATTCTCTCTATCTCTCTCTCTCTTAAAAAAAAAAAGAATTCAGGCTCTAAATGGACATCCAGGTTCAAATCCCAGCTGTACTTTTGGGAATAACACATTTACTTTCCACAAATTAGGGCTAAGAAGAGACCCTACGTAATAGGGTTGTGGTGACATCAATATGGGACTACCCATAAAGCACTTAACACAGTACCTGGAAAATACTAATGGCTCAATAAGTACTAAACCACCACCACCACCACCATCATCATCATCACTATAGTAGCTCCTGCTCCCTTCTTTCAATACAGTTTCACAGTTTACCCCCCCCCCCAGTGTTGTTCCTTTGGTCAAGAAAATGTCTTTTCTTGATGGAGAATGGAGATCAAACCTTTATTTTATGTTTCCATAATCCTCTATAAGCCCCCACACCAGCTTCTTCCATCCCTTCGAAGAAGCTGTCTACACCATTTTCACCTTGACTCACTTTTAGAGCAGGAGACATGGGTCCCCTCTGATTTGCTGCACTCTCTCTCCCCTCCCCAGGCAGGCTTTGTCTTTGTGGCACAATGCAACACGGTGTGAGCCCCTCTCTCTTATAGTCTCTTGTAGAAAGTGAAAACCTATTGTGTTTCATGCCAGTTACACTTTTGAAGTTGAATAATGGAACCTGACAGAGAGGAACCTTCCTGAGGTCATAGTTATTGTCACAGCTCGATTTCATCTCAGGGAAATCAAAACGTAGTTCAACTGATTTCCTCCTGTTACCAATGCACCTTGCTGAGGATATGAAACCCGCCTGGAAAGATTTCAGCACCAGGAGGCGAAATGGCATGTGCCTGCTTGAAGCCTGGATTGTTTAAACAAGGCTGATGTAGCCTGCTCATTGGGGAAGAGCACCAGGACAGAGAGGTTGCATGTGTCCCAAACTAGTGTCCCTCAGCCTGAGGGGATAAGCCCCATGTTGTCATGCACCCCTTAAAATCCAAGTGAAATTTAGGAGAAAATGTGAGATGCCAGGGGTGTTCCTCAATCCAGAGTGCTGGCCTCACACACCATAGCTTCTTTGAATGGCCTGTGAAACGTTTTTGCACATCTTTCCGGTTTGTATTCCCACCCCTGCATCCCACTGCCTTCTTGGTCTTCTAATTGTTGATTTTGAGAAATGGTCAAGAAAGTGCTCAGACCACCTCTCCATGGATTTACCACTAATTGTGTCTTCAGACCTTCATTTCCTCCTCTGAGAGAGATTAGGTTTGATGATCCCTTATGATCTCGCTAGGAACTGGCCTGTGGTTCTCTATAAGGATTCTCCCTCCAAAGGAAGTGGTGTTGCTTGTATCCTCTCCTGCAAGTCAGGCAGCACATCGCTTAGGGTAGAGTCTATTGCTCTTGTAGAAGTCACTAGTATGGTATTGCAGTAGCCATGGTTCAAATGGTGTTCTCCCAAAGTTCATCTCAAACCTGAACCTTTGAATGTGATCTTATTTAGAAATAAGGTCATTGCCACTGTAATGAAGTTAGGATGAGGTCATGCTCTATTTAGGTGGTGTCCTAATAAGAGGATCCACCTGCAGAGGGAAGATAGCACGAAGACAGGCAGAGGTGCTGGAGGGCTGTGGCTATAAACCAAGGAATGCCAAGGATTGTGAGCAACTACCAGAAGCTAGGATGAGGAAGACAGGATCCTTTCCTAGAACCCACAGAGGCCCTGATGATGCCTCGATTTGGAACTTCAAGTCTCCAGAATTGTGAGAGAATGTTTCTGTTGTTTAAAGCCACCCAGTGGAGTTATGTATTATGTCAGCCTTAGGAAACTCACAGTCTCTACAGAAGAATATCCCCACACATTAAAGTCTTGGGGTTCCCATCAGCATAAATATTTGAAGAATTATATTTTTAAAACCTGGGTTAAGAACTGACTTTAAAGCTGTAAAGTGTCATCAGTGGTCACTCCCTCTTTAGGTTCATTTGTTCAACAATCTTCTAGACAAACGGGATGAAGACATGGGACATAAGTCAAGGAGATGTGTAATTATGTCTGTAAAATAGAATGAAGTTTTGAAAACACGACAATAATATTGGAAGCAACTTAAATAATGGATATTAGCATTAAGCAAACCTCAACAGTAAGCCTTTAAAATAAATATCCTTCAACCAATGAGAAAGATGCTGTAGAAGACCAGGTTTAAACACATAGGTCTATATTTTAAACAAAAACTTTATTTCCTTTTTTCTTTGTTAAAGAAATTTTGTATAGGATATCCACAAATGCTACTAAAATTGATGAAAAGAAACCAGAACCCTATTCTTCTGTTGGCCTTCCCTTCTTTTCCCTTAGACATCTACAAGGAATCTCTACTAATACTGCTTAGAAGAATGAAATTCTGCATTATAAATTGATATTTCAAACATTTATTGCTACAAATGATGTCCATGACTCACTGAGTAAAAATACAATTTTCAACTGAGCATATGATTCCAGTTTTATGAATATATAGTCTATATCTTATATATCACATGTATTATTCTTATTGAAAAGTTTCTGGAAGACTATACACTAAAACATGCATAATGAGTACTTTCTAAAGGGGAATACTGGTCTCAAGGCAAGGTAAGCATTTGCATGACAGGTCCTCACAAAATCCTTTTGTGTGTCTGAAGGGAGAAGGAAAAGTGTCCATTGTGAACTGGGCCAGAGCACTCTGTTTTTAATAAGGCTTGCCCTGCAGAGAAACAAGTTTCTGAGGTTCTTTTCAACTGGAATTTTATAAGCAACTAGTAACCTGGGAGAAAGAAAATACCAACTCCAGCTATCCCAAACCTTTCCATGGCATCTAAGATGGAAAAAAATGAATAAAATGGAGAAGCATTTGTGAAAGTCACAACCCAGGGTCCCAGACTCACTAAAAGAC